CAACCAAAAATCATCCTATGTAAATAGTTGGGTAAGGCATTAATAGTGACTTTATAACATTTTTTTCTGTATCTTTACCCTTAATCTAATCTAATTCTGATGAAAAAGGCAGCTACATATTGTCCCCTTGTCCCTCCACCGATTACTGCTCCTCTACAACTCTATCTCATCAGCTCACTCCATTCCAATCCCCCTTTCAGTTTATCTTTCTTTGAAAGTCTTTACATCTCAGCAGGAGGGTGAGGATGCTGAGTGCTGAGCCCATAAATTTTGCCTGGTGTGAAACAGAAGATGGCTTCTCTGGACGGCTGGGAGGTTTTCCATCACTGAAGCCTTTTTAGAGCAGTCCACTGCCACTGCCACATGTCACCATACCTATACTAGGCTATGTGTTTATGTGTATGTATGTGAGAGCTACATGTCTAAGTGGATGGCTGCAGTGAAGAGGACAGGAGTTTAAGAAAGAGGGAGTAGGATAATAAGGAGAAGAGGATGTAGGTTCCTAAAACTGTCAAGTGAATCAGGAGAAAGAAAAACAACAGAAAGCTGAGGTATAATTAACTGAGAAGATTAATACGCAGTTGATGGGAAGGTTTTCACAGCAGGGTGCCAACAAATAAACACAATTTGAAGATGACACCTCCTCAGTGGGGTGGGCACTTTGGAGGGACAGCTCCATTCCCTAAATTCCACTTGAGTGATCTTGTGTCAGATGGTCCCAGTCATTCTGTCTTGGTTCCCGAGAGACGGAAAGGTTATCCTGTTCTGGGAGGAACATGTATATGGAGGCACGAAAAGGTTGTGCGGGACAGCTGTGGCCTAATTTCAAATCCTCACCAGCCGTTGGCAGATCACAGTCGGTCACTTGATAGCAGTGTGAAAATGAGACAATTCGTTTTAAGATACATTCAAATCAATTTGCTTGCACTTGTTGTGCATGATTACTGATTAATATTCTTGATCTGAGCTATGCTTGCCTTTCCCAGAGTTAAAAAATCCCCTCAAATTTAGGCAGCTATGAGAAACAGAGGATTTGGTGGTTGGTAGACTTTGGCTCAACACTTGAAGGTCGTAATGAACAGTCACCTCTAAAAGCGCTCACATTACACTCCAACAAATGAAACCAGCGCTCCGTAGTTAGTCTTCTTTCAGAAATAGCGTCTGTTCCTTTTTCAACAAATGACATATGAGATATTTAAAGCATATCCTCCAACAGCAACTGAAGGCACTAATTTGAGAATCAAGAGGAAGCAGAACTTAATGCAGAGGAAGCGATGATCCCTCCCCAGAGGTACAAAGTGTCCCGCTTCATCAGCTTGTTCTGTCCTGCGCCAAGTTAAATCGTAACCCTCGCTCTCCCCATCTGTTACCATCACGGTATGCTCTAGGCTTACTAGGTGACTGTAATGGAAATAACTTGCAAGAACAGGTGGCATTAGCACTGAACACATGATAAGGACTACATAACACATGGTCAAGAGCCTACTAAGCAAATGTTGAAGTGTCTTGCTGTTCTTTTTCCAGCGTGAGTGTGCTTTGGGAGTGACAGGCCAAGTGTGGAATTCATGTTCTTCAAGAGATGCCCAACACTTTATCATAAAGCCACTCAAACACCCACTTAGCGTTTGTGTACAAGTGAGTAAAAACAGAAGGAGGGTCAGAGTGATAGGGGATTGCTAGGGAGGGGGTGATAGGGAGAAATGCAAACAGACAACCATGGAGTAGAAACAGAAGGGTTGAAAGATAGGAACCCCATGGTGTCTGTGTGCACCATGTGATTTATGTGCCACTCAAGGTGTGGTCGGCAGAGGGAGATTAAGAGGGAAGAGTCACAGTATCCCTGATCTAAGGAGGGTAGGTGAAGAATTTGTGAATGAAATCATAATATAATTAAGACAGTCATGAGTTTTTGATCAGTAAAAACCGAGTAGATCAAATGGGCCCATGACATGGCCCATCAATGACTCTCCATCTGATGTTGAGATCACACCAGATGGGAATGACATTATTTACTCACTTACTTAGTGACTCTTTGAATAGGGCTGGGCTGTGCCCAGTTCTTGAATTGGATAAAATCATCTGCTAAATGACACTGTAAAACTGTTCTAAACTGTAAATAACTCCAACACCAAAAAGATCACTGTAAAACAAGAAAATACACTGAATTCAAGGTCTCACTTACCAAACTACCATTCAACGATTGTGTTGAAATCTTCACTTGAGACACCAAATACAACACTGAATCTGACAGACATAAACTCCTTACAAGTCCAGTTTTATCAGATCTTGTTGAGGAGATTTTCATGGTGGTGTAACTGGAATTCAAGCACTATAAGTTACGTGGAAAACCTATTTCAGGAATAATAGAACTTGGTGTTGATGTGTAAAACAGCTGGCGGTTCAATCCCTTTCCTGCTACACACAGAGGGTCAACAGAGGGGGTCCCTATGATACAAGTCCAGTAACTTTTTTCATCCATTAAGATACACTAATTAGCCTACTTCAGATTTGCAAAAGCCGTATGATCTTACTTGAGTTATCTGTGATCCATCTTCATAGATAAACGCTAAAAGTGTTGGGATTTAGCTCAGGAAGGACCATTCCTTACTATTTAATATTACTCTCACCACAAGTGTACTTTGAATAAAAACAGACCCTCCTAATTCATTTTTATTTGAAATCTGAAATTTATGTTTATGACTTAATACAGAGAAATATATGAACAGGGTGTGACTTGGAAACTCTTCACATGTCTGTTAGCTTATATAAGCTCATTTTCTTCTATCATGTCCGAGTTCAGCTTCAGGCAGGGTATGTAGGCTTGTTGGATAATCCATCTTGACCCATTTACACAACAAGCAAACAGAGGTTTTTCCTTTTGTCGCTGCTTGTGAGTGAAGGGACATTACCTGCTCACATGTCAGAGCTCATGGGCTTTCATGGGAAAAGGCAGACACACAAAAATGCAGGATACAGCAGCAGCAGGTCCAGAGCTGCTTGCCCCATCATCAGATTTAAATTTATCTCAGGGGTTGAGGAGCTGAGGCTGTCAGAGTTGTCACCATCCTCCTGCTCTTCTCTGTGCCTCGGCTTCTTTCCCCTTCTCACTCCTTCCACTTGTCCAGTCATTCATCACCACCTTCATCCCCTCATCATCTCCTTTCATACTAGAGTCTCCTCTTTTAAGATGTGGCATCTGGTGGATACTTTTATCCCGTCTTCCTCAAAGTATCATGTCTGTCTACATTTCTAGCATGGTTTTCCTGAGTCTGAAAGGGACCAGTCAGGAACGTAACGCAACATCCTTTTTATTCAAAGTCTTACCAGAGGTCATATTTAAACTATGGCTAACTCAGACTCTGCACGCACCACATTGATGCCAGATTGGACACATTTTAAGGCCTTGGACCATGATCCAAACTACCATACCTGACATGCTTGGAGTGTGATCATGTACGCAATATCTGGTTGTTGAGTGCAACATCCCCCTGATGTTTAATCCATTCCAGTACACACGTGCTCTCCCCTGCTCTCTAAGTTGGTGTACCAATATATCGTCAAAACAGATAGTAAATCGTTTTTTCTTTATCGTCTTGAAAAGCATGCTAAAATTTCTGCATTCACAGTTTTATGCATTGGTGCCAACCGATGTTTAGCTGCTGTGGGTGTCCTGGCTGTCAAGTTAATGCTGACAGCTCGTCTTCATCAGCAGATTTTACTGCGAGCAGCCAGCAACAGTGTCCCTTCGTGTGCCAAGAACACACCAAGCATGCTGGGAGATGTAAATGATCCATCCCTCAACCTGTCTGCTCTGTGACCTGCGCCTGATCACCCCCAGCAAGCTGCCGCTGACCCTTCGACCCCGACAATCGATAACACGCACTTTAACACACAGATACAATCACAGTTCTGACTTGGAGTTAAATCAAATCTTCAGATTTCAACACGCACACAGGTGAGTAGCATATGCATGACTTATTCCAATTTCGCTTGTTTTGAGCTCGGCATAAAATTTGCTTTCTATTTCAAGCTCTTACTCTTGTACACACAAACACACAAAGACACACACACACAGTCTCACACACACCTGCTAGCACAGCAAACCGCTAACTGCAAAGGATCACAGACTCCCTTTGTCAAACAGGGAAATTAGCGCTGGCTCTCACTCGTTAGAGACCCATTGTAGCATTAGCACATTGTCATGGCCACTGAGCCTCTTCACTTTAGCACCGCGGCACTTCTGCTTAAACATTTGTCCCTCCAGAGGAAACACATTTGCATATAAAGAATCTCTGACATCCCAAATATCTGATGACGATGATAAAGTTTCCCATCTAATTATAAATCTTTGAACACTGCTAAGTGGAATAGCTGATTGACAGGTATGTCATGATGAATGGCAGATAAGACTTTTTCCCGCAAAAGTATAGAAACTTAACTCTTATTTGGAGAAAACTTCAAAGTTAATTTTTCTTATTCCATTGGCAGTTTGTTTTTACCCAAATCAAACAGTTATATCTTGAAATTAGGCATTTTTGTAGTTTTGTCAGTAAAATTTGCCATTAATTAAACCTGTGAGCACAGTTTTTACTGTAAATAAGGCAAAATAAGTGACTAAAATTAGAGGTTTTTGCAGTTTAGCACGTAAGACCAGATGTAGTAGTGCATCAATGGGAGCCTGTGCACATATAAGTTTGCTTTTGTCAACAAAATTTACTATTATGAGACAATACGAGAAGAAGACTCCTGTTACCCCTTTAAAACAGATCCTGCAAACAGTTGTAATTTCAGTTAACTTTGAACTGCTAAACCTCGGTGAGCCTCTCATTCAGTGAAGATTATATAAAATGTACATGCAACCTGAGCTAAACTTTGCGTTCTGTACATTTTTGTAACATAGAACTGATTTAAAGTTACATAAACCCCCCCAAGCCTGAAGATTTGAACATGTGTTAGTAATGTAGAGGCAGTAAGAGGGTCAATAGCCTCTGGCTGAGAATATGAGTTCGTTAACTTTTGTGCGTGTGTGTGTATGTGCATGTGGGAAGGTGTCGAGTATAATGTTCAGCGTTAGTTTCAAGGTCACAGGCCTGAGTACCCCCCACCCACCCACAAGGCCTGTGCACACACACAGACTGACGCTCACTCACACACACAGACGTAGACAGAGGATGGTAATAGCGGTGCTGACAGACGTGTGTGACCAGCTGAGTTTGAAGCCTGTGCCGCAGTTGAAAGCTCTGAAAGGCCGTCCGGACACTTTGAAACATCAGCGAGTGGAAGCAGCAAAGAGAGAGACATCTGTAAACAAGACTCGAGAACAGACGAGGGATTACTGCAAATGTTGAGGACTCGCTTTATGTCTGTCTGACAAATGACCTGTTCATTAACTTCACTTTATTCACTCTATATAAAAATAAAAGCACACCATCTCAAATAAATGCATCTTTCTGCTTAATACTTTGGGATACTCAAATATAAACGTTGCAGTGCTCACACAGATTAAATACTGTTAAATAAGAGTAACTACAGACATGTCAATGTGACCGTTCTTACAGTGTCTGATTAATTATAGCTAATATCCTGAATATCGGGATGGTAAGATTCCACTATAACTTAGTTGTTTGTATTTAAGTTAAATTTCTGTTTGCTCTAAAAATTTTTTCATGGACAGCCTCTTTAGATTAGTGAAGTAACATGATGACCCAATCATGACCCAATACCAAGTAGGATGAGGGTCACTAAAAAAAAGGGAAATTTGAAGATCAGAAATTCTTTAAATAAGTGAGAAATCTGTCATTTTCTTTCATCTTTAAGATTAAAGCAGGAATTTGGAATTTTTTCCTCAGAAATCCAAAGTAAAGGAAGAAATAAGCCTCAATTAAGAGTTCTGACTTTTCTCTCAAAATCCAAGATGAAAGTAGGAAATCAGACTTTTTTTAATGGAGTTCTCTGATTAAAGTAGGAATTCAGACTTTTCCCCACAAATTTCTAAGATGAAAGAAAAAAAACTTTTGTTTTCCTAAAAAAATTTAAGATAAATGTCAAAATTCTGACTGAAAATTCAGGAAACTGATATCTAAGTTTGAATTTTGACTTTTTTTTTGGGAGAAAATAGTCAAAGAAAAAACAATTAAATGGAATCTTTTGGTTTTTTTTAAAATGGCTTTTATCCTCTTCTATTTATTAAGAGTCTAAAATAAAAACACAAGTTTTGTATTTTGTTGAAATGTGGTAAAATGTATTCATGACATTTGCCTAAGTTGTGACCGTGATTGTATTTATTTCTTAATGTAGATTGTCCCCTTATTATTCAAATTCAGAACCACTCTACATAACCATACATTTACATAGACATTTACAAATATACTCAACAAAACTGTACATAAGAGAAATTCATAACGTTTAAGAGTACATATAAACACACTTAGGTGTTTATCGGATGGTCTGAGTAGGTCTGAGTGTTTGCAGACTCTGCTAGCTCTCTGTCTCTTACCTTGTAAGACGAGCGTTCAGCTTCGTCATGGTCATGCGCCAAATTCCACCTAACGTCCAGCACCTGGCTGTTGACAGTCATGGGTCTGCTGCCAGTGTAATTGGTGCACACCCGCACTCTCACACAGGCACACACAGACACACAGGCATGGATCAAAGTCTTTAGAGGTGGTGAACAAGGTTATAAATACCTGCTGTGAATAGCAGCAGACGTGTCTGATGTATGATAATGTCCTCATTACAACAGGCTTTGTGTGTGCATGTGTGTACAAGAATGTGTGGGTTCATATGTGGTATGAGAATGCCAGTGGTCAGTGTGTGTGTGTGTGTGTGTGTGTGTGTGTGTGTGTGTGTGTGTGTGTGTGTGTGTGTGTGTGTGTGTGTGTGCTGTTGTTAATACATGCATTTGTGTGTGTGTTCCTGTGTTTCTGTGTATCACTGTGGGATCTTGAGTGGGATCTGTTTGTAGTGATTAATCCAGATAAAGGTTTCTTGTGTTAGTGTGTGTGTGTTAGTGTGTGTGTGTGTGTGTGTGTGTATGACAGTGTGAGTGTGTGAGTGTGAAGCCGACAGGTTTCAGCACCTCGCTGATGCAGAGTCTCGGCTTGATTCTCTCCTTTGGAGAATCCCGTTTCTGCTCTTCAGTTCCCGTGAGTCTGTCGCCCCGAAGACGATGATAAACGGCGCAGATGTTCAACGTGCTGCAATCGTGTGACTGTTTTCGAGAGTGAAAACTACATGAAAATTTGATGTACGGTGTAACTTTTGCCCAGAAAAAACTCCCCACAGACAACCGTCGTCTTTCTGAGTATCACAATCAATACTGCAGTTTTGATTAGCTGGAGGACTCAGATCAAACATCGAATCTACTGGATGACCTGTTGAGGTCAAACATATTTGTTTTTCAAATGTAGTAGACATGTAGTAGGTTTTCCTGCAAAAAATTATATTATTGAAAACACAAAACTTTCCACCAAACATTATGAGCTGAATATAGCTAGTGGGCACTTTGTTTACATTTAATCCACTGTAAGGACATCTGGGAACTACATATCCACTAAAACAGCAACCAAAAGAGATATGATTACATTTCACACTATCAAGAAAAACCAAAAGACACTTTATTTACTTTTGTCACACTGGAAGGGTGTCTCGAGGGCTCTTTGTTTACATTTAATCCAATGAAATTGCACCCAGATCATCCAGGGGACACTTGTTTTTCATTGTATACACTAGAGCAGCATCGACAGAGCAATTCTATCTGTGATTTAAACTGCAAGGACACTTGACAAGGCCTTTTATAAACTGCAAAGGCATCCAAGAGAGCACACTTAGGCATTTTTCAGATATTCCAGTGCAGGGGGCGTAATCTCCTCCCTTATCTGCTCTTTCATTACTATACTGACTATACTAAATTGAGCAACATCTTGGCTATTTAAAAGCTGTGCACACATGCATGGCCATCCATCTGCTAAAGCCTGCAGAGGTCATCTCTGTAACAATATCTGAGGATTTCTATCAGCCACACTCAGTAAGGGCCAAGAATTTTCTCTGAGAGTTAGAAATATCAGTCGGATCAATAGGCAACATATTTTTACAAATATACAATACTAAGTGGCATTTTTTCCAACATGCGTCTCCTTCCAGGGGATTTAGCCATTTCTGTTGAAAACTTTACATTGTCAGATTTACAGGTTAACTGTGTATATCAGACCTACCAGTGCTGTCACCAACAATAACAGTCCTAAAAAAGAAACTAGGAGAAAGTGGGGTAAACAGGGTTCGGGCGATCCTGTGGATCTCCTGGCAGAGAGAGCTGCTCGCTCTGATCCCAGAGCAGCTGGAGAAACACAAGGTCACAGGGGATCAGGCTTTCCCTCCAAACAGCTGGCCAAACAAAACCCAGCCGGGCCAGACATACGCACACAGACACACACATGCTCATCCTCGCATGGTGAACCTTCATTCAAGTGTATAAAGAGTGTATGTGCGTCAAAAATCATGTTGCTGCAAACCGTGTTAGCACAGCTCACAGAGTGTGAAAAGTTTCCAGAGGAGCTGAAAATGATAAATGGGTGTTCATCATTCTTAAATCTCCTACGAGTTAACCTTTAAGGTGAAGAAAGGAAAATGACCACTGATGCATTTTTAAATCTTTAGGTTCCAAAACTTGATTTGTGGTTGCATATATATATACTCCTCTTTATATAAGCTGTAGAGTTTTCTTTAAGTTTAACTTTAGTTTTCTTATCAGTGATATGCATGTCCACTTTTCAGTTCTGTGCAATCGCAGTTTAAAGATGTTTTTGTGTCGAAATACAAAATGATCAGATAATTTGACAATAAAACTTTTCGAAAGAGCTTGTAGTTTTTTTAATTTACAATGTCAGTTTTGTCCAAAAAAGGTATAATTTCGTGTGAGCAAGACTGACAGTTGACGATGGCACCACATAGTCTTTTTATTCGTTCATATTTGTTTGTACTTATGGCCCTTGGTTGTCCTCTCATAGTCATATTTTATCTAATTGATGGCAGACGTAATACTTTGCCAGTAAAAGACAGTTATGCCTAAATTGAGGTAAGTTGCAAAATGCAGGACGGTGTACAATAAACATACATTAAATCTGCATTTGCCCCCTAATGGGTTTTAAATGTTTTATGTAAATGTTGATGAGGGAAGTCCTGTCTGGGGATGTTGCTTATTGTCATTCATAGGTTCTAATATGTTTATATATCAAAAGTGTAAATGTATCTGCAAGCCTTTTGTGATGATTTGTTGATAAAATGATTAATTCTTGTTGAATAAAATTATTGTTTATAAAATACCAGCTGTTAAGTTCATATAACATATACAGTATCTAATAAGTTCTGAACTGGAGTTATGGATGGGTTAGGGGTAGCATTTGTTTCCAGTGCACTTGTGTCCATGTGTGTGTTTGTTACGGGACATGTTTGCCAGCTTTATACATCATGTTTCCAGCCAGGATCATTAACGTGTAACAACATTGTTCACAGCTTATCAGAACATTTACGTCTCACCATGAGATGTCCGCGCCAAGACAGATCACCACTCCGTCCCCGACAAAGACGGATTGAGCCGCAGAGAGGGAGGTCAGGAGGGCTGAAGAATGGAGAGGAGTGGTCGCCCCAAATACCCACACTAAATTTAGGGGGACACCGGGTGCAGATGAAATGAGCTGGGGGACAAAAGGGTGGGCTGGGGGTGAGGGGGTCATTGGAAGATTTTTGGCATGTAAGCTGCCAGAGCCCTCAGCTTTATCTCTCCACCTGATCTCTTCCAGTGCCAGCAGAGGAAAAACCTTTTGCGTATGAATGCTGTCTACAAGTGAGATTTGCAACAAGTTTTCCATCCCTCGTGGTCCCATAGGTCATTTTTTTTCCCGACTTATACAACATAAGAACTTTTCATACAATAAAACCCCTTAAGGATGACAATACAACCTCCCACCTATTTTTTTTTAACCAGAAAAACACATTGGGGACATGACTACTGCCTTAAATGGTCACAGTTTTATCAGTGTTTTGGTACCTGTACCATTAAGTTTAGAGAGGATGATCATCAAATTTAAATCGAAGCTCCTAAAATGTTGTGAAGAATTAAAGCATGGTGTCCCCCAATACTGTTATGTATGGTTTTAAAGCTCCTGTAAGGAACTTTGAGAATATGAACTCAGGCACCCCCTGTGGAGAAAGCAGTCTTTGCTTATCTTGTCTTTAACACACTTAATGTCTTTCTTAGAAAATGTATCCGGCTAACTTTCAACAGTCAAACACGGAAACGGTTAAAACAACAAAACAAAACAGAGCTGTTGCTTCAGCTGTAAATCACTAC